GCTTGCTCTCCTCGGACCTTCAAATCCTTCTATGTTTTGGATGGTGCTGTTCCCATTGCCTCCAACACGTCCAATGCGAGGTTGTTGTGGCAAGTCTGGAGAATAAACTCCTCAGTGATCGGGTCCCGACAGTTCATCGCCTCGTTCTAGAACCTTTTTACGAAGGTGTCAACCAATTCCCCATCCTTTTGTTTCTCGTCGAGCAACGTTCCGATGGATATCTCGGTGTCGTCGTCGAAAAAATTAGCAAGGAACTTAGTTTTCATGTCGTCCCAGCTACTCACGCTTCCTGGCTTGAGGCGGCGATACCAATCGAAGGCGGCTCTACGAAGAGTGCCAACGAAGGACCGTACCATCAGAAGTTCGTTACCAGAGATGACCCCTAGGTGCGATTTGAAGTAAATCAAATGCTGAGTGGGTGAACCTTTCCCGTCAAACGGCATGAAGTTAATTAGGCTGAACTTCGCCGGGTAGGGGATTGATTCCTATTCTCTTGGGTATGGATAAGGAATGCCCGTCTTCTTCATCTCTTAAGCAGAAATCAACGTATTAATTTTGCTCTCGAGGTTTTTAATCTTCAAGCTTTCACCTGAGTCTTCGTTGGCATTCTCGTTACCACCTCCTGCATTGATGGAAGGATTATTGGCATTGTGAGTTTCATTCGCACCTGTGTCCTCATTTTTCAGATCAATCTGGTTACGACGACTTGGCTCGCCTTGCTGGTTTGTCAGCGCTCGGATTTGTTGGTCATGCATTTCTCTCATATTCTGCATGGCCATCTGCATTTCGAGCTTGAAGCTCTCTTGTTGCTTAGCCATGGCTTCTTAGAGCATCTTGGCTACTTGTTCCGTGCTTATCATCGGTAACTCGCGGGGTTGTCCCTCGTTGGATACTGTATTGTCTGATGCGACAGCAGAGCAGGAATCCGATTCTTCATCTTCTGATGGTAATCTTGTCCGAACCCTACCATAAGTTCCTCGTATGATGGCTCCGGACTGCAGACGGGTAATCCGCCGGGGTACTTCCGGAATCGACTCGGGATTATCCTGTGTCGACGTCCCTTTGCTGGTCATATTAGTGGTGACCCTTGGAAATTCTCCGTCTTCAACCATCGCTCTCCTTCGTCGGAAACGCCTAGGCCTTGGTTTTGGCGTTTCGGTACTAAGTCTTTCGAAAACCGAAACTCTTTTAGGAACTGTATTGGTGCAGTTACACTCCGACAATACTGCCCGAATAAGTTTGGAACAGGGACATTGGGTCTCTAGTCCTCGAGGACTCCTCTTCCTGGTTTTTCTCGTACTCCCATCACGATAGTACAACTCGTCAGCTTGACAGTCGGAGTAACCTATCGTGTGTGGGCATGACTTCTCAGGTATAACGTTATCGTCATCAAACGATAATGTTTCCTTCTGAGGACGAACTGCCTTCTTTGGGCTTTCAAAAGTCACGCGCCTTGAAACATGACGAACTGCCTTCTTTGGGCTTTCAAAAGTCACGCGCCTTGAAACATGCCTTTGCGGGCGTGAGTTCTTAGCGGGCTCCTGGACTTCAATGCGTAAATTAGTGCGCCTAGCTGCCCTGATTTCTTTGTCATGTTGAGGGTGGCGGCGACCCCCAGCATGTTGAATCGTTCGGGGCTTCTTCATCGGGCCCAAACGTTCTTGAACTGGAGCTTTGCTTCTTTCATCGGGAAGTGGACCGAGGCGCTCCAAAACTGACTTCTTTCTTCGAGATGATTCTGCGTGATCTCCCGGAGTAGCCATGGGAGTTATCGGTGATTTAAGGTGGTTCGCCGGAGGTTGAACTTTTACTGAAGGCTGCAAAAGTTGCTTTTTAGCCTGAATCGCCGCTTCAGACTTTGGCCTCCAGACTTGGCGGGTTGGTGGTGGCTTCTTGGCCACTTCCTTCCGCAGTCTTTTGCGGGCTTCTTGGACTTGAGCCCGTGCCTGTGCTGACAGTGCGCAGCGCTTGCGAATGCGCTCAGCAAGCGTTGAACGATTCCGTTTGACACGGATCCATTCACTCGTTGGCGGCTTGGAGGAGCTGCCATTCACCGTTTGTTGAGGCTGTTTGCCTCTCTTGTTCTTTAGATCCGCGTTGTAGCGGATTCCGTCTGTAGACTCCATCGCTTTTGCGAGTTGGCATGCCAGACATTGACGTCGCCTCTGGCGGGCTCTCTTTGAGAGAGTCACAACGCCTTCAACGGTGGAGGCATCAGCGAGAACAGATTTGACCTGGTTGGAGGTCGGTGGAACTTCACCCGATGCGACTTTGGCATCAGTTAGGGTGAGAGCTTCGTTGGCGTTCTGTACTTCTTCATACCAACGAACTTTTCTCCTGGAGGAGAATTTCTTGGACTTGCAGGGGGAGGTGGATCCAGACGAGGATGACAGATACTCCTCAAACTTTTGTTGGTCGAATTCATACTCGACCTCCTCCTCGACCGGGATTGAGATCCGCGGTTGCGACGCGACGATCTCGGCAGCGAGATCGGTGGCTCCCACTGTGGTCACCAGATTGTTCGCAGGAAAAATTGTTTTCTTCGTTGATGATTCCATTGATTACTTTGTTAACAGTTTATCGGTTATAAAGATCCAGTCTTTTCATAAGATCCGGTTACAACAAAATCAAAAAAAAAGAAAGAAAAATTACAACTTTCCTTTTATGTCGAACGAATCGCGAGATCCTGTTTTGCGGTCTCTCGCTTGTGTGGGTTCTTTGCCTGCGCCGGGGGTTAATCCGTGGACCACCGCACGATCTTGATCCGGTCGGATCTACACGGTATAGCGGGTGTTATTTCACGAAGGAAATAACAGCCGAGAGGATTATTTCACCAAGGAAATAATAGCCCTAGTTATCGAAATCGACCAAGCGAAATCGAGACTCTTCTCGGGATCAAAGGCTAAGCTTTGATCCGGAGGAAAACCGTGTAGATCTCAGATCTGATCTCTCTCGAACTCCTACCTTATTTGGCGTGGATGATCGCCAAGAACCAGATCAGAGAGTCCGAGTCTTCTAAGTTGAAAATCCAAAGGTGAGTTCTCAATCCAGCAGAGTTTCGGCTCCAAAATTCCAACCTCCAAAACAATGAGCCACTAAGCCTATTTATAGGCATTTAGAACCAGATCTGGGTTCAGATCTGGGCCCAGATCTGGGCGTGGCCCAGGTGGATCGGCCACTTAGGTGGCTCGGCCACCTAGGTGGCTCGGTTTTGGCCGAGCCACCTGAGAGGCTCGGTTTTGGCCGAGTCCTCCAGGTGTTTGTTGTTTTTGTCCGTTTTCTGGTTTCGCGATTTCGCGGTTTATCCGAACTCTGATTTGGCAGTCCGGATCCTGATTTGGCAGTAAATCCGCTTCGTCGTTGATCTGAACTCTGATTTGGCAGTCCGGATCCCGATTTGGCAGTAAATCCGCCTTGGAGTTCGAGTTCGAATCCGTTCTACGGTTGGATGACTCGTTGACTCACCGAACCGTTAGCTTGATTCCGCACGCGAGTAGATGTATTCCGTTGTTTGCGTGCATTTGTTAACCTCGTCGCTTTGTTAATCCTCTTCGTCGCGTGTCACTTGGCTTCGATGTGGTGAACTAACGCTCGTGTTTAGATACGTCACCCGATGGTTCGTCGGTTTGTCGAATCACCGTGCCGAGCTATGTTGTGGGACCTATAAGCAGTTTTATACGCCTACATCTATGGCTATGATGCAGCAAAGACGAAAAATCCCCCTACAAGGACTTGCAATTGTTGGCCAAAGTGGTGTTGTTGTTGCTGTTCTAGAAGCAAGAAAAAAAGTATACAAAGAATAAGAAGGGAAGATATGGACCTCTTATGCTTTCTTCTCCTTTTAGTTTATTATTTTTTATTTTGATTCACTTGGCATTATGGTTTATCATATAAATGTAGGTTATTGGAGATGCTATTCACCTTTCTGGTTATTCTCTCCCCACAAAACAATATTGTTCATCCATCAGTAGAGGTTGGATCTAAAACTACTGTGAGATAAACATTTATACTTTTACTTACTTATTCTTTGGACCAGATTGATTGATACAGGTGTAAATTGGCGCCATGTTTACAAGGTAATAGTCTCTTCAACTTATTATAGTGCCGCATATTTTACACGAATTAAATTAAACAGGCCCTATGCTGTGTTGACCATCATTTGCCACGATGAGTTCTGTTTTTTGTGTCTTTTTCCATTGCAGGCATTGCTTGTTATAGATTACTTGATTGCAAATGGATCTGAGCGTGCACTTGATGATATCCTTGAGCATAGTTTTCGGATTTCAGTAAGCATCTCTGCCTATTCAGAGGTTTGGTTTGCTTGTTGTGAGCTTGGTTGTGGAGCCTGGTTGTGAGCCTGTTCAGATTGTTGTAACTTCAAAAAATAGCCAAGTAAAATGGCATGATACAAAATACTTGTATAAATATCACTACTGGATTTTCCACTTTTAGAGACGGACTATTCCGTCGCTAAAAGTCAATATTCCGTCGCTAAAACTTTTGGCGACGGAAAAAATTAATTTCCGTCGCTAAAAGTTCGACGTTATTACCACGGTCCCTAAAAAGACTTATAGCGACGGAAATTCCGTCGCTAATTGTTAGCGACGGTTTATTAGCGACGGAATAATGGTCGCTATTTTAAAAAAAAATAAAAAATTGAAAAAAACATTAGCGACGGATTTTCCGTCGCTAATAAAACTTTAGTGACGGAAAAACCGTCGCGAAAAATTTATTAGCGACGGAAAATCCGTCGCTAATTTTTTTTAAATTCAGTCATATATGATTTCGTGTACGTTTTCCGTCGCTAAATATTAATTTAGTGACGGAATTTCTATCGCTAAATAGTAATTTAGTGACATAATTTCCGTAGCTAAAACTTTTAAAAGAGGAATTTTTAAAATATTTTGAAAATTGAAAATACCATGTACAATATCAATAATAATTTTTAAAAACCTGTTCAATCAACACAGTATAATATTCAATCTCACGCAAATATCACATCTCACGCATATATCACACATTTAATTCAATAAAAGCAAGTAAAAGTTTCTCGACGGGTACATAATAAATATTGTTTATACAACACAAGAAATTGTTTTCAAAGTTATATTAAGGACAATCAATCCTCCTGATCATCATCATCATCCTCATCCTCAACCCCAGCCACATTATGACTACCCCCGGCTGCACCTTGTGAAGAAGTCCCGGCCTGTAAATATAAATCAAATGTTAACAAGTGTGTGTAAACGTTAATAAGAGTACAAATATAAATATATACTACAACACAACACCACAAAACCACAACACAACACCACAACACAACAACACTACACCACAACACCACAAACAAAACACCACCGACAAATCCCCAACCATCACGCCCCACCCAACAACAACTCCCACTCCCCTAACCCCCTCCGCATGACGCGCCTATCCACTCCCCCTCAACGAACCGGTGCAAATCCAAGGAAGGTTCACCACAACAAAATCCCCAACTCCCCATCCTCTAACGCACGACCAAAGCCCCCACCTACCAACCAATCACACTCTACACACCCCCTCCCCCTCCATCACTACCATCACCACCATCAACACCCAATCCCCATTCCTCCCCCCCACCACGACCACCACAACACAACACCACAACCAATCACATAACGACCCACAAACCAATCACATAACGACCACCACAACACAACACCACAACCAACCAACCAACCAACCCACCAAACAATACCACCAACACTACGCACGCATACACCATCAACACCACCATCACATAAAAACATTATAAGTATATATTTTTGAGGTTTGTGTTAGGGTTAGAGTTAGAGTTTGTGTGTAATAGTTTGTATCAGTGTGTATCAGTATGTACGATATCATCTAATTAAAAAAAAGTAAAGTATATATATTACCTGTGACGACAGAAACCGTCTCTTATATGCCTCCTGAGCCTCCTGAGGCAGAGTCGACATGAATTGTGTGAACTCCAATACGGTCTGCTCCCGGCGCCTCCGTTCTTCCTCTAGAGCCCGCTGATATGTTGTTTGCTGCGACTGCCAATCTTCAATCGCTTTTAATCGTTGCTCCATCGAGTCTTGATATGAACTGCTTCCTGGTGTTCCTTGTGGTGCTGCAGACTCGTAGGGGCTACTAGACTCGTGCGGCCTCTGCTCGGATCCTCTCCACCGGTATCTGTTCTTCCTACTGGGTCCAATGACCGTCTCGATGATGGAGTCCTCCTCCTCTCTACTTAGCCGGCCAGGAGTGTTAGAACAGATCTGAGTCTGAGTCATTTGCTCCTGTACTTTGGCATGTAATTTCTCCTGTGATATATCAAAACAACCCGGGCAAGTCGACTTACTAATGGTGCATTGATATGAAATTGAATATATAAATGAACTGCTACTTACACACAGATCCTTATTCTTTGCTTTCTTCTCTTCATCGGCGTAATTCGGGCTCCAGGAAGTCAGAATACGATCTGCAAAATGTCTGAGATCTCCCCTTCCCTATTTTATTCAAATATATCATTAACCCATAACACATAAATTATACTCAACTTAAAAGCTAATATATTATATACCTCAAGCTCTAATTGATGATAATGCTGGCTGAATGTCCTGGAGCCCCCGTGATGCTCGTAACTGCGAGGCGCGTTGCGATTCCTCCTTGCTATTTCAGCTTGAGCCTGCAAAACAATGTCAATTCGAAACAATATAGAAATTCAAACAATAAATTAAAAATATATACTTCAATAATACCTGAATTTTAGCCGTGTCCCAGTAATGGCAAAGTGCAAAAAAATCTACTCCATCCACACGCTCGTCAAGATGTCAGAATCGCTCCCAATCTTCTGTTATTTGGACAAAATATTTTTTCTTTACCTCAAACCGCCATCTCTTGAACGACAAATTGATTTTCCCGAAGCAGTACGTCCAGGCACAAATATTATCGTCAAGAAAGAAAAATCGCTTCAGCATATAAAGGAAAAATAGATACAAATCAGTGTATTAAACATAATAATAAACTAATAACTAATAATGATAAAAATTAAAATAAATGACTCACACATATATATCTCCAACAAGCCACCAGCGCATCAATCCGTTGTGCTTTCCACGTCAAAAAAATGTTGAAGAAATCATGTCTCCTCGCTAAAGCGGCAAGAAAATTGTTGAAAGCATTGGCAAAGGCCCCGATAGGCACTCCGTTTTCCCATCGGATCACAGCCCTCCGATTAATATCGGGGATGAGGTTCGTTTTCTTAGTAGCATTGCGGCCGCGTCTAGGAGGTCACCCGGTACCTGCGAAACAAAGAATCGAATGAAACAATGAATCAATCTATATTTGCAAAAAAAAATTTAAAATAATAACCGATAAACTATAAAAATTTATTCATACCTTTCAGTTCGAGGCATCTACGCTTTGCTTGTTCGTACCTATGCTGCGCGATGGGGCGCATATCATGATAAGAATCCCAATCATCCCTCACATTGGCCGGACCGTGGGCTCGCTGATCCGGAATAGAATCTGGCGGTAGTGCCGCAGCTTCTAAAGCTACGCTATACGGCTCAAATCTCCTCTCCTCCAATATATCTGCATGCGGTGGTGGTGGTATCTCCGCATGCTGTGTAGGATCAGCCTGTGTCTCCACGTCATGTGGAGCATCTCCGCGTGATGTGTCCTGTGGCTGCGAGTCATGTGTAGCATCTACTCCTCCTGTGTAGTAAATGTTAAAAAAAATATTAGGCTCATGTTAATAGTTTATAGAAATGTACAGATATAACAAATAAATAAAAATACCTGATGTAGAGGCATGTGCGTCACCTCCAGAATGTCTACCAAATAGTCTCTCAAGCGCTTTCTTACGTAATCCTTTTGTCATCTATACTTTGAAAACATAATGAATATCCAACAAAAGTATATAATGCAAATTATTAATAAAATAGCACAAAGCAACAGAATCGCGTGTACATGATGTCCAGTTAAACAGATAATACAAAGGCAATAATGTAATACATGACACACCGTGATACATGATAACCAGTCAAACAGATAATATAAAGGTAATAATATAATACATGACACATCCACATGATAACCAGTCAACCAGATAATATAAAGGTAATAATATAATACATGACACATCGTGATACATGATAACCAGTCAAACAGATGATGTTGAGGCTCTACTCTGCGATCGTGTGCGGATAGCCTGCGACCGTGTGCGTGCCAACAAAAGGATTGTTCTTATAGTTTTATCGACTCCGCTGCAGACAGGTTTTTTACCTTTACGCCTTGGCTCACATATAATCGCAGGTACATCAGGGCGCGCTAGTGCAATTCATCGTCCAGATTATTATTTTGTGTCAATGAAAACTCCTCGGCTATTTCGTCGGCCAAGATAACCTCCTCATCGTGATCTTCGTCAGACACGACTTCATGAATGTAGGCTCTAGGTGGATTCTTAAGGATAACCCATTCGTCATTTTTCATTATATCTTTGACATAAAAGCACTGTTTGGCATGAGCAGCTAACATGTATTTTTCAGACTGATATATTTTCTTGTTAAGATTAACGATTGTGTAACCGTAGTCATCATTCGCCTTTTTCTGTTCATACCAACGAACCTTAAACATCACATGACTGACTTCCTTATTAATCCCATAGAAAATCTCCACGATGTCTTCTACCTGATCGTAGCAATAGATTTCCCCTTGTATCTGTTTGCGTTGAAAATTGCTGTTTTCATTGCTATCGAATCTATTACAACTTTAGTCATTACAATAAACTCGAATAAAATAAAAAGTTGATCTTTTTATAAGATATCCTTACACAATGAAAATAAAACAAGTTTACAACTTTATCAAAACAAACGTAGGGAGATCGTTTATCGATCTTCTGCTTGCGTGGGATCTTTGCCTGTGCCGGGGTTTATCCGTGGACCGCCTTAGATCTGGATCTGGTTGATGGAAAAATCGGCAGAGCTTCGCCTTCGCCGAGGAAGTATTTGATTTGAAGCGCTGAGATCGACCAAGCGAAATCAGGGCTCTTCTCGAGATCAAGACCAAGCCTGATCTCAAGGAACGGACGGGAACGAGAGTCGGATCTCTCGAACTCTCCTTCTTTATGTCGAAGAACTCGCCAAGATCTGTCAACCCTCGCTGAAATTCGTGCTCCTTTGACTCCACAATCCGGCAGCACCTCCTCGTCTTGATAATCAATCGCCCCTGAAAAATGGAGGCCTTAGGCTTGTATTTATAGGGCTTCGGAAGCGGTTATTTGGATGAGAACAAGTGATTTGGCCTTATCTTTAGTCAATAACAGCCTAACCACGTTTGTAGATGATATCAAGTCAGTTGGGAACCTCTAGAACTGAAAAGATCTCGAGAAAATCGTCAAAACCGTCGAAAAACACATCAGGGGGTCAAAACAGCGCGACGGGTCGAGCTGACCCGCGGGGGCGCGGGTCGGCTTTGGCCGACCCGCCAAAACGCGGGTCGGTTTGGTCCGTACCGCGCGACGCGCTTTTGGGCTTCGCTGACTTTCGTGTTTTCCGGTTCTTCCATGACTTGTATTTTTTTCCCGTTTTACATATTTGATCGTCTTGTTGACTTGCACGCTTCGTTGCGGGCCGACCCGCGCGGGCGCGGGTCGACGCGGTCCGACCCGCGCGGACGCGGTGTTTCAAATTTTTGCTGAGCTCTGGTGTTTTCTGGTCTTTCCGGGACTTGTATTTTCTACCGTTTTGCGTAATTGATCGTCTTGTTGACTTGTACGCTTCGTTGCAGAATTGACCGTCAAACGCGTGTTGATTGACGCACGCATGTTGATTGACGCATGCGAACTGATTGATGCGCACGAATTGGTTAACATGCACGAGCTGAATGATGCGTGCGTGTTAACTGACTGTTGGGCGCGTTTGTACGCTTTGAGTTGATTAACGCGTGCGGTCCACTTGGCGTTTGCCCTTGCGGTGGTTCGTTGTCGTGTCATCAACAGTTTGTCGATTCGCTTCATGCGCTTGTCGACGTCGGATGATCCTCTTTGCTTCGGATAATAATGTTCATCGCCTTCTCTTTGTCTCGAGCTGTGTGCGGACACCTATAGGCATTTTTAGACGCCTACAGATACCCCCTCCAAAGTATTCCAGACTCATTCTTTTATTGAGGAGTCTGGAATGCTTTGGATAAGATAGGCCATCTCCTCAATTTCGTAGAGTGACCTTGAACTATCTCAATTCTTAACTTCTTCAGTCTTCAATCTATTCATTGTTTCGTCGAATAGGTGAAGTTCTTCCGGCGCTGCGTTTATCGTCTGACCGCTGTCGAAATCTTGAACTGAGATTGGTGTGTAACTTTCTGAACTTAGCTCGTGCCATTGAGTTGACTTTGAACTAATCCTCTCCGTCGGGAATTCATATCTGATTGTAACTGAAATCCTTGGAGTCATCGTTTGCCTTATTTTGACGAGATTGCTGATGCGTTGACCGGCATCGATCTTTACTGTAACGCGTTGACCGGCGTTAACACAGTTTATACTCGTACGTTTGCTGGAGTCTACACAGTTTAAGCTCTTAAGGCATTGGAGCGTGGCGGTCCCAAATGTTGGGCTGCAGGACCAACTATTAAAGCTGATTCATCTGCATGTGTGGATCTTATCCTGAAGTTTGTTGGATGTTCAAGTCATGAGACCAACTAATAAAGCTGATACATCAATGACTCGCATTTATAGAATTTTTGGCAAATTCTCAGCCATCAACGGGTTTGATAAGCCTTTACCGACTACCGTTTGAGTCGGGCTAGCATGCAGATTATTTAAGTCCGTTCCGCATGTAACGTTATGCTAAAAGAGTTAACTCTTTTAGTGCTACGATATTGAATACGTAGACTTCGTCTTTCTCCTGTGAAAAGACTAAACAGCGACGTGTATCAGACGTAGACTTTAAGGTTTTTGGCAAACCCTCAGCCTTCAACGGATTTGGCGTGCCTTTACCGATTACCGTTTGAATCGGGCTTGCATGCGGATTGT